CCCCCCGCCCCCCGCCCCCGGCAAAGAAAAAGTCAGCTGGGTGGTGTGCACGCCTTTAATCCCAGCACTCAGGAGGCAGAGGCAGGCGGATCTCTGAGATTGAGGCCAACCTGGCCTACAGAATGAGTTCCAGGACAGCCAGAGCTACATAGAGAAACTCTGTCTCAAAAATAAATAAAGAAAAGTAAAAGAAAAAAGTGAGAGACAAGAGAGAGCCGGAGAAGGACAAAATGGAGGGTTGACCAGTGACCAGTGCCCGCCCTAGGATCTTGTGTAAAGTCAATGGCATCGACCACGTATGGACCAGCAGTGTGCACACCAGGGTGCTGACCAGCTGCCTCTGACAGCTCTGCCCCTGGAGAGCCAAGCAGATGCAGGTGGTCCCGAGAGGGCCCACCCTCCTCAGTCTCAGGTGCTTGCCTTCTGTTATTCCTTGCTCCACCCAGCTTGAGGAGACATGCGCTACCCCTGTGCTTCTGGGAGCTCGGACAGAGCCTGTGGCCAAAGAGAGTTTAGGTGTCGTCGATCCCGGCAGCCATTTTTAACCAGGAGAGGAGCTGTGGACATCTGCAGGCCATCGTCTTCAACGTGGCTACTGTCTGGAGTTTTCCCTGGAGGGCAGGACCGACTCACATCAGCATGGGTAAGGGTAAAGCTGGGCCAGGGTTGGCTCTGAGGCTGAGCAGACTCCAGCTCTTAACAAAGGGTTCTGTGCTACCGTATGCCCGGAATATGTCGGAATCCTGGGTCAGTCTTACACTATTCTGGGCACTCTCTTGGTATTGGTCCTATTTCCCCACTAGGATTGGTAATTTCATATGGGTCAGTCAGTTGTATTGTTTTCATGACCCCATGCTATTTAGCTTTTGCTTAGAGAAGAGGCCTATAGCCTGGGCCCACCTTTAAGAAATGTCCAGATCCCCTGCGGCACCCATTAGAATTCGTTTGCTTAGGCCTCACCCCATACTGCCTGAGCAGAATCTATGGTGCAGGACACAGCAGACATTTCGGTGAGGTGAGGGGCTCACAGCCCTGATTTTCTCTCCAGTTACCCGCAAGGGGTTCAGAGTGTGCTACAGTAACAGACCCTGTGAGGGGGTTGTTGTTTTTAGCTTTCATGTTTTGTATGTCTGATTGAAATGCCAAGCTTTCCTCCCATGTGTGCAGATGGTCTAGCTGATGCGGAAATGGCAAGTGATTCGGCTGTTTCCAGATGTGCAAACACTGGTGGCATCAGGACAGGGACAGCCTGACACATAGCAGGCACCCTGGTCTGCTCAGGTGCCATTTTGAATGTGGAGTCATGTGACCCACGCCCTTGACTCTCTACCTTCCAAGATGTGTGCTGAATAGGTCAAAGAAACAAGGCGTGTGTGTGTGTGTGTGTGTGTGTGTGTGTGTGTGTGTGTGTGTGTGTGTGTGTTTGTGTGTTTGAGACCAGGGAAGGGCCAAATGGTCTTCCAGACCTCAATGAGAACCAGAATATGTGGATCAGAATGAGGAAAGGAGGCAGGGTCCTCACTTCCACCACAGCAGAAGCCCAGAATCATGAACATCGGCTTTCACTGAGCACTTTTCTCTTTCTAGCCAGTGTTTTATGTATGGGAGGCCGTGGTTTGGCTCTGGCCCTACACTGGCTGTAGGCAGTGAAATCACAGTACCTGGGCTTCCCTGCAGCAGTGAACTAGTTAAGCCAGAAACGGGCCAACCTGTAACCATCGGTTCTTCCCTGAGTCCTGCCTCTGTGTGGGTTAGAGCTCTATTGGTTGCACCTGTAAGAACATGCTCCCACGGCTGTCAGATGGAACTCTGTTAGCTTCTGGCTGCAGCTGGGAATCCTGGGAAGACGTCTTAGTTTCCAAAGCTCCGTGGATTTGGATGTAAGGCAAGTTTCAGCTAATGTTTTGGTCTGGGCTATGGAAGTCCTGACAGAAAGAGGCCTGGGTCCTGAAAGGGAGGCCTCGGGGTCACTGGCTTCAGTAGGAGCAGGCCTGGGTCCTGAAGAGGCCTCTCTGTCAGACAAAACTGCACCGGACCCAGTGGGCTGGTCAGGTTTTAGATGGAGGGCCTGAGTCCAGGGAATCTGGGATTCTCCTTTCTGGAACCCGTCCTTCCGAGACAGGATTGTGCCGTGAGAGCACACAGCCTGGGCCATACCTAGTTAGCACTGAGAGGGGTCTGTAACTCTGGCTGTCTTGGCTAAACAGAAAGGTCAGAGACTCCCCTCCATTTAGAACTACACCCGATTTACACATAAACACAAATCTTTATGAATCCCACACTGAGTGCAATGGTGCACGCCTTTACTCCCAGCACTCGGGAGGCAGAGGCAGACAGATTCTGAGTTCGAAGCCAGCCTGGTCTACAGAGTGAGTTCAAGACAGCCAGGACTACACAGAGAAACCCTGACTCCAACCAAAAGAACTCCCAGAGCTTACACCTCTATTTATGTGTTTAGAAATGGGGTGAGCCCTAACAGCACCAAGGGTTGCAGAGACCATAGTGAGACATTAAAGACTTTTCAGAAAGTGGGATGCATCTTTTAGCACACAGGTTGCTAAAAGTTCTTTTTAAAAGTTGAGCACTTGGCCCTTGAGCCTTGGCTAAAATCTTAGCACGATGGAAAGGTGTTTCTGTCTAGCATGGAAGAACCTTGTCTGCTGGACAGGTGTTAGGGAACCTCGGCCCTGCACTCAAGTGATGCAGTTAAGAGCCCCGGGGTCGTCTCAGTTCTGGAGACCTGTCTTGGCTGAAGGAACAGGCTTCTCTGGAGGAAAGCTCTTGTCTGCACCAGGAGAGGGAGCTGAACCCTTGGCACTTCCACAGTGAAGCAGCAGATGTCTGTAACAACAGCATTGCCCTGGCCTTTGTCTTACAACACTGTCTTAGCAGGCCTGAAATCTGACTCTTCTAATACAGATTTCAAAGGGCCAGGGGCCCCGGACTCTGCCCAGTGACTGCAATGAGCCCAATGGTTAGGGTGAAGATACCCTGGGAATGGATGGCTCTTAATGGACCCTCGGAAGGACAGAGCATGGCTGTCACGTGCCTCTCCCAGCATGGGGAGATGTGTCCTGTGAGAAGAGCTGGTTGAAGGCTTGGGAACCCAGGGCTCCGTCCAAGGCTGCCTGTAGAGAAGCGAAGGAGCTTTTCAGATCATTGCACAGTAACCGGTTTTGGAGTGGCTTCCCTGGAACTCCAAAGACAAACTGCTCTAATAATTTAGGCGTGAACTGTTAGTGAACAGAGCCTAAAAGCACTGAGATCTGTAAAGGATCTTGTTGTGGTTTGGGGAACCCCTCCCCTGAGGTGTTTTGTAGTGGACATTGGATTAAGTGATGGCTACTTTTGGAATTTATGGACCATTTTGAGGTTAAAGTACTGGAACTTGTTCCTTAATCATCCTGACTTTACTGTGATAGAAGGTAACTAGAAGACATGATTTTTGACTAGGGTCGATTCCCAGTTTTCATGATTGGAAAAGGCTATATAGATAATTATTCTGAAAAAGGAAATAGCTGTTCACAGCTTTCACTGAGAAGTCTAAAATGCCTTGACTAATCAGAACACCCGGTGATGATGCACTCACTCAGCAGGTTCTGAGCAGTCTGCTGTTTCACATTCTGTTCGGGCAGAGATGCAATGGGAGAGGATAGGTGTGGTTCCCTTTTCACTGCAGTGAAACAGATACACAGCACAGCATGAAATGTAAATATGCACCTGAGCACAGCTCTACAAAGAAAGTGAGGCTGCCCCTCATCGGGGCTTGTGTTTATTTGTAAACAGATGAATGTGAGTTGCACTCACGTTTCATATTTGGTAAATATACTAATGGAGTCGGGCAGTGGTGGCGCACACCTTTAATTCCAGCACTAGGAAGTAAGAGAGATGGCAAGACACAGGAAGGTATTTAAGGCATGAGTAAACAGGAAGTCTCTTTTCAGTGGATGGTTTCGTAGGGGTAAGAACTAGAGGTTTGCTCTCTGCCTCTCTGATCTTTCAGCTTTTACCCCAATATCTGGTTCTGGGTTTTTTATTAATAAGATCATTTAGCAATTGTGTTACACTTAGGAGGCAGATGCAGATGGATCACTTGAGTTCAAGGCTAGCCTGGTCTACAGTGTGAGTTCCAGGACAGCCAGCGCTGTTATAGAGAAATCTTGTCTCAAAAAAACAAAACACCCCACAAAACCCTCTTCCCAGATGTCTGTGTCACGATGATAAACTGGCACATTGATGGACCACCTGTGTTATAGTTTAAAAGCAGCAGGAAGAGGGGCTGGAGAGATGGCTTAGAGGTTAAGAGCACACTGCCTGCTGTTCCAGAGGTCCTGAGTTCAATCCCAGCAACCACGTGGTGCCTCACAACCATCTGTAATGAGATCTGGTGCCCTCTTCTGGCCTGCAGGCATGCATAGAGGCAGAATGTTGTATACATTACATATATAACCTTAAAAAAAAAAATCAGGGCTTGCGTGGGAGGTTTATTGGAAGAGGAGAAAGGGGCAAAGACCAGTCTCCTAACAGTCCAGTTTCTGCTTACATGCCAAGCAAGAGGCCGCTGGGGAACATCTTTATGGAATAAACATGGAGACATCTCCAGTGACAAAGCATTTTCTTAGGTAAATTATGTAACCATTCAACAGGGTGCTGGAGTGACAAGGCTGAGTCATCTGGAAAAACTGACAGCATTTTAACTGAATTTTAAGACGGACTGACTTGGCCAAAGGTACTGTAGTTAGTTTAATGGGTGGATCAATCCAGGAAGTCTTGTCCTCAAGAGGACCTTATGCTTCCTATTTCCCAAAAGGCTGATGTGAATTAATAGTGCAGGGCTTTAATGCATTATGTTAACACATATTTTCCCTTCTGACCCCTTCCCTGAAGACCTGGTTTTCTAGAAATGAACTGGAAGATTGCTCTAGAACCATGTGTAGGTGTGGACCTGAAACCTCAGGGCCTCAATTTAGGTTTGCACCTTAAAACTGAAGAGTCTCTTTGGACTCCTGGAGCCACACAGCCGTTGGAGAGTACGGCTAAGCTAACGCCTAGAAGGGGTGTTTTCTTAGATACTGACAGTGTTTCTCAGCCATCAGTACAGATTGCCCTAAGACCCATGGCTCTATCTTTATGTGATGGGATACCGCTGCTATCAGACCTCCCTCCAGCACTTGCTTTAACTGCCTGGATTCCACTACTAGAGGTCGCACGCTTGCTGAGTAAGGGGCAGCTGCTAATCTTGTTATAGACATGCAGACTACAGGGTGCTGTACTGACAGGAAGTTAGCGGGCTGGAGAGATGGCTTAGGGGTTAAGAGTGCTGCCTGCTCTTCTGGAAGTCCTGAGTTCAATTCCCAGTGACCACATGGTGGCTCACAACCATCTATACTGAGATCTGGTGCCCTCTTTTGGCCTGTAGGCACACATGCAGGCAGAACCCTGTATACATAATAAATAAATTAAAAAGTTAGCAGGCTACATGGTTAGTATATGGACCCACTCAGACCATTCCATCTGATACACACCGGTCTTCTCAAGGCTGGACTATCGACATACAGCTATCTGCCGAATTCTAAAGGAGCTTGCCTTGGGCAGCAGTAAGAACAAAGCACTGCGGGCAGGGGTGTGAAGGTTCCTTGGGAAGAACGTGAACCAAAGGGGAAGATGGCTCAAGTTTGAGGGGGGATGTGAATTCCACTTGCAGTGGGCAGAAAAAAATTCTCCCTTTTGAAGCACTGGTCAAGATTACTTTAAAATAAAGTTCATATATATTTTAGGTGGAGCTGTAGCCTGAGGAAGTTAGAAGAGGAACTGGAGTCGCAGATGGTTGTGGGTCCCCAGGTGGGTGCTGGGAAGCCAATGCTGCTGCTCTGGAAGAGCAACAGTGCTCTTAACCGCTGAGCCATCACTACGGGCAAACACAGGAATGCGAGCGGAACTGGTGTTACTGTGTTCTTCGATGCAGCGGGCTGCCGTCCAGACGGATCAGGAGGAAGCCGTGACTTTCTACACTGATCATTGAGGAGAACGAACCAGAACTCCTGCTCTGTTCAAGGGTCCAGCTTCATGGCACTGAAGGAGGTAGGTGGCTAGCTAACGTTGGATGTGACTGAGACGAGGGGACTCAGAAAGGTGGTGGCTGCCGAACAACACCAATGAAAGCAAGCTTTAGAAAGAGTTCGTTACAGTACCAATGCAGTGGTTACACGTTCAGGACACCAGGGCTCCAGAGTCTGTCCCTTAATGGTTCAGTGCAGGACCCTGAGCACTGCAGGGTACTGTTGCTTTAAAGCCAGTGACTGGGGAGGCACGTGTCTTCTCATTAAACAGCAAGCCTACTCAAATAAGCTTCCCAGGCAGCTTTTCTGTACATCTCAGCTGCTTCCAGGCGGTTAGATGCTGCAAGGATTCCCCGGCCTACAATGATGACATCAGAACCCCGTTTGCCAATCACTTCTTGAGGACTATTGTACTGTTGGCCGAGGTGATCTCCTGTAGAGAAGCAAAGGCTATTTAACCAAATGCAAACTCAGGAAGTCCGTGAGCAACATGGGAGGTAACAGTCCAAGGTATTAAGGTAAATCAAGACAGCATTTCCTATCATACACCTTAGTATTCATAACCCTTTCTGCTACAATCCCACCAAGTTCTTAGACCCTAATCAGACCCTAATCCTTTGATTTTAGAGACAATGTAAACCAAGCTAGCCTTGAACTCAGACATCCTAGTGCTGGTATGAAAGGCATTTGCCACCATCCCTGGATAGACCCTAATCCCTGATGACTGCTTTTTATTCATTACTGTTGTTCTAGAAATGTTCTGTTAAGTGTGTTTTGATGCTTTCAATTCCTAAAAGCCTGGGCTCCAATGCAAAGAACTGCAGCGCCTTTGTGAGGCACTGTGCTAAATAGATGTTGTTCGTGTCCTCTCAATGCCTCCCCACTATTTCAAGGTCAGGACTATATAATCCCTCCCTCCACAGATCAAGATGAGATTAAAAGTAGTTTATTCTGACTTTACTATGTTTCCCTCCACGGGTGCTGTTCCCTATTAAGTGATACTTCAGTTGTTGCCTGAAGTAAAACTGTTTGACAAGAAAATACAGTATTATGCATTTAATTAAAAAGTAGTTTAGTGTTGGGACTGGACCTTAGTGTTTGAAGCCTGCCTAGTATGTACAAGGCCCCAATTTAGTCGGCTGAGAATGGAGGCATATTCACTCAGGAGTTCAAGGCCAGCCTATGCTACATGAGAAAAAGCTGGATGTGGTGGTGCACACCTTTAGTCCCAGAACTGGGGAGGCAGGGGTATCTCTGAGTTGCAGGACAGCCAGGACTAAATAGAGATCCTGTCTAAAACACTAAAACAAAAAAGGTTAGTGACTTAGATACACAGTAACAGAATGGAAGGGCTGAGAATGCAAATCTTTGCAGCTGTTTACAAATGCAGTTTATAAAGTTCTAAGAGTTTTTGATGACTTCCAAGGCCACTTCCTCTGCAGAGGTCTATCTCCTCCACAGATGTAACGTGTGTGTATATGTGTGTGTGTGTCGGCATTCACTAGTTTTCTTCTGACTCTACTTTCTATAATGATATTGTTTAAAGTAGCTCAAAAAGGCAGTGCTTTTCCCTAATGTGGCAAATGATACATAAAATAATCCTAACAGTTCAGTGCTTGAAAAATCAGCACTTTAAACATTGACACATGTCCTGCGTACAATCTATCACCTAGATAGAGCTGAGGAGCCTGAGTCCTTCAAAAAGAGCTTCTGATCTAGAAGGGATTCCTAGAAATACTCAATAGACATAAAAATACACAAGGGTGTTTTCTGGTTGTAAACTGCATGCACTTACAACAGGTTTTGACGTTCAAGTTCCACGTGCAACTAGGAAACCAACAGCACAGTTATGGGGTGCTGTAGATGAACCCCAGAACTTGAGCTAGGCAAGAACTCTACCAGCTGAGCTACACCAGGGTAATAACCCATCTCCTCTACCTCCTTCCAGGCTAAACCTGTTTACTGAGTCCTACACAGTTACACTTTTGTTGGCAGGCAGAGGTGAGGGGCTGGAAACTAAGCCCAGAGCCTCATGCCAGCTAAGCACACACACTATTTAGAACTACATCCAGCCCTTACCCATGCCTGTCTTTACACCCGAATTAGAGACTGTTGGAGTTGAGGAACCATAGCCAGGCCCTGGCACGTCGAAGTCGCTGACAACTGTCTAATGGTCGGGCCAAGGGTTTTCCAGATCTGCTGGAACACAGAATGGGTGGCATACTCAGAGCACCAACTAGGAAATGCTAACCTGAAATATCAGGTTTTGGCCAGCGTGATGGCACATGCCTTCAGTCCCAGCACTTGGAGGCAGAGTCAGGTGGATCTCTTCAAGTTCTAGGGCCCAGGCCCTGTCTCTGGGACAAAGCCAAGCAGCTTTCTAAAATGAAACTGCAAGTAAGCTGTCTTACAAATCCAGTACAGGCTAAAGGGCTCGATCATTGTCCTAGAGTACGACAACACAATGACAACACACCATCACAGCAGAGTGTTCTACTCTGCCTCTCAGGGTAAGGAAGCAAATTTACAAGAGCCATAACTAGTAAGCACACTCACCTCCTGTTTCCAACTGAACTCCTGGGGTCAAGTGAAGAAACTCTGGTCTCATGCTTACTCGGGAGCCGGAAATAAAGCCAATCACAAATCCAGAGTGCTCCTCGGCCATCCCAACCTGCACGCAATAGGCAGCATTACAAAAGCACCAACACAGAACAATCAGCCAGAGGAGGAAACACACATGCCTCCCTCCACTAAGGTCCTGAGAAGGCCCTTCCTCCGACAAGCCATGCTTGCAAAGAACTCCTACAGTACGCGCATCAAACAAGATGCCGTCTAACTCCTACTTGTGACAATGCCTGACGACTCACTGGCTTCCAAGGAGGATCCGAGGTGTCCCATCACAGCTCTTGAAGATGGAGGGAGCTATCGAAGCAACGCTCTTCCACACTTCCCTCTTCCGCAGCTGGTCTTTACCATTTCCTCCCAGCTACAGCAGGCCTGGCTTTCTGCCTGGTCACCGCCCAGACTCTCTCAATGTCAGCCTGGCCACCAGCTATTACCACCAGTAAGGGACACACAGCCTGTCCTTGAGCCAGCCCTCACTCCCAGACCTTTTGCTTTTGAGACCTGGGAAGGCAGTACTTATGGTCCACTCAGGGTGGTGTTTAAATTGACCACAGGTGGCTGGATCGATGGCTCAGCAGTTAAGAGCACTGGCTGCTGCTCTTCTAGAGGGCCCACATTCCATTCTCGGCACCCACACGGTGGCTCACAACCACCTCTAACTTCAGTTCCAGGGAATCCAATGCCCTCTACTGGCTTCTGCTGGCACCAGGAACACACTCTACACAATCACATGTGCAGGCAAAACACCATACACGTAACTAAAGTGTTTGTGTTTCTTAAACTATAAATATTATCTACTTTCTAGGTGACTATCCAACTCTAAAATTTACCATACGAAGTTTTCAAGATGAAAAGACAAGTACAGGTACATATGTCTTAAAGATCTGGATACAATTCAAACCCTTCACCTGCTACAAGATCAAAGAGTTCAATCCAACTGGTGCTAATAAACTGTCAGAATAATGGCCGAATTGAGGATCGGGCATGAGAGATGAGGCCACAGCTCCCGGACCTTCCATGAAGGTCTGTTCTTGCCCTGGACCATGCAGCACACACGATCTGGTCTCCCCTCACCCAGCACACCGTCACTTACTGCTGCTTTGGTGTAGTTTCCAGTGGCCAAGGAGCCAGCAGAGCTCATCTCTGCGATGAGCAGGCACGCTCGATGTAAAGGCAGGCCCACTTCCTGCAAGCCTCTCACAACTCCCGAGCCGGGGACCACATGGGCATTTACCAGATCTGCCCAGGAAGCTATTTTAAAGATGCCACCTAAGAAGGAATAAAAAAGATCTTTGCTGTGTTTGAAAGGGCAAAAATCAGGCAGTTGCTAGATACATTTTTTTTTTTTTAGCCAGGCAGTGGTGGCGCACACCTTTAATCCTAGACTCAGGGACTCAGGAGGCAGAGGCAGGTGGATATCTGAGAGTTCAAGGCCAGCCTGGGCTACAAAGCAAGTTCCAGGACAGCCAGAACTTACACAAAGAAATCCTGTCTTGAAAAACAACACAAAACAAACAAAAGATATTTGCTAATTTTCAAACATAAATCTATAACCCTTTGCACAACCAACTACAACATGAAATGTTCTAGCAACAATCAGAGGCGAGTATTTAAGAACTTTATCAGTGGACCCATAGTACCATCTGTGAAACAGTCAGCTGTCCACCTGGGAGCTAGCTGAGAGGTTCCCTGAGAGGAAGAATTCTTGCTGCACTTGGTGTATCAGGAATGCTGATGAGCTGTTACTTTTTTGCAGATTGAACCTTAAGACATCAGAGGGACATATGAAGATGGACATTCCCGGAGCTCAAGCATGGTGACCTCCTGAAAGTCTCTTAAAGACGACAGATTTTTCACCCCATAGAGATCACTCAGCAACTTTACCCTCTACAGGTTTCTTGGCTTTTCCAATCTTAAGGGGCAACTTCACATATCTTATTTTTTAAAAAAGACTTTGAGCCCTCTCTCCAGCCCAGCTGTTTACATTTTAAACAGGTAGTAAAAATGCAGACTTGAAAAACCGACACACAAGCCTAAGAAAGGCTATGTAACTCTGACTCTCACTTCAGCCAGGAAGTTCAACTACGCTAAGCAATGTAGTCGTGGCAGGCCATGGTCAGCACACGAGGTAGCAGACAATTCTACCTGAGAGACACAGACCAGAGACGGACAGGCACGAAGGCATGCGGCTACAGAAACAGTGAAAAAGCAACAGAACTACACAGTACCTACTACAGCCACTGTTTCTTTTTGTTGGTGGTGGTTTTTCAAGACAGGGTTTCTCTGTGTAGCTCTGGCTGTCCTGGAACTCTCTATAGACCAGGCTGGCCTTGAACTCACAGAGATCGGCCTGCTTCCTGAGTGCTGGGATGAAAGATGTGCCACCATTGGCCAGCCTGTTTCTAAGAGCAGAAGTCTGCATGCAAAAACAGAATAGGACTAAGCATTTCCCAGGCCACTTATTTATTTAGGTTTTTCGGGACAGGGACAGGATTTCTCTGTAGTGTTTTGGTGCCTGTCCTGGATCTTGCTCTGTAGACCAGGCTGGCCTTGAAGTCAAGAGATCTGCCTGCCTCTGCCTCCTGAGTGCTGGGATTAAAGGTGTGCACCATCACCGCCCAGCCTCCCAGGCCACTTATAAGCTGCTTCACCTGATATTAAAACTTTTAACACATTATGCTGCTAAAAATATATATTTTTTTTCCCATCCTTTCCTATATTGGCAATTTTTGGCCAGGGCCAACACATCTTGGTACTCTTCTGCTTCTACCTCCTGAGTGCTGAGATTAAAGGTGTGTGCCCCCACAGCAGGAGCAGCAAACTCATTTTTTTTTATGTTTATAGTAGCACTATTTGTAATAGCCAGAACCTCGAAACAACCTAGATGCCCGTCAACTGAAGAATGGATGAAGAAAATGTGGTACATATGCACAATGGAGTACTACTCAGCAGAGAAAAACAATGACAGCATGAAATTTGCAGGCAAATGGATGGAACTAGAAAAAATCATCCTGAGTGAGGTAACCCAGACCCAGAAGGATAAACATGGTATGTACTCACTCATAAGTGGATTCTAAATATAAAGAACAATCAGACTACAACCCATAGAACCAGGGAGGCCACCTACCAGGGGGGCACCCCAGGATGACTGTGGTTTATAGTAAGTTTTGGTTTTACTCAATTACTGGGCAAGCCTCAGTGAAACATTTCACTATTAGGATAAGAATTTATACTGTATCAAGCTGATAATAGAAAAATAAATAAGTACATAAAAATGGAAAAAAAGGGGGGTGGGGATTGACAGGGATCTCGGTCAAAATGGTTAAAATTTGAACTTGGTACTTGCAGGAGCAGGAGCGGTCCCCAGGGCAGCTAATGAAGGGAGTTGACACCCAGAGGTAAGAGTGAAATTCCCCGCCTGAGAAACAAGTCAACAGAGAAAGCAGGATGGAGACCACAGCCTAGAGATGGAGAGCAACAATGTGGAAGCGGTCACTTCGGGGCCTGGACTCGACTGCACCCGACAGCTTGTTCCCTTGCCGACTCCCACTTAGGAGCCAAGACGTCTCCTCCTCTGTGGCCAGTCCACCACACTGGATTTCTGACCGTACTTACCTTCATACTGCTTTTTCACTGTGTTTCCTATATCAGCGAATTTCCTATCTTCAAATATTAAGAACTCGTGGCGTTTTGCCAGAGCTACCAACTCCTCCATCACATCCAGAGTAAAATCATTCAGAATATCGACGTGAGTTTTGAGCATGCAGATGCTGGGTCCCAAGGCATCTGCTAGCTGCAGCAGCTCTCTGGCCTCTGAGACATCAGCAGACAGACACAGGTTGCTCTCCTTCTTCTGCATGAGCCTGAGAAGTTTCGAGGCAAGTGGGTGGACTCCGGGCAGCTCCGCTCGTGCACCAAAGCTCAGTTCTTTGCATGCTTTCTTCTCAGGAGGGGGGACACCATTCTGATGAGCTGCTGGGAAAACATTCTCCTGGATGAACCTCTTCACTCTCCCGACCATCTCGGCATCGATTTTTTTCTGCTGCTCGAGGATCGCCAGCATTTTGGACAATGTGCACACGGAATGGAGACGGATCCCCTGGGCCTGCAGCTTGTCCTTGCCTCCCTGCTCGCGGTCTAACAGCACGATGGCATCAGTCACCTTCAGGCCCTCCTTCTGAAGAACTTCAACCGTTTCCAAAACACTGGCCCCACTGGTGACGACATCCTCAATGATCAGACAGGTTTGCCCTGGATTAATCTCTCCTTCTACAAGACGCTTGGTACCTAGAACAGAAAAGCCTCTGTTGAAAGAAATATATAAAATGTTTCGGCTACCTCAAGATATATCCCGAGTCTACGCTTACTATGTACTTAAAGAGTTAAGATTCTCTAAATCTTATTTATGATCATTTACTTTGAAGCTACTTTCTGTTGATTTTTCAATGCGCCACAATTGTTTTGTTCAGTATCCTCTGTATCTCCAAATTGCCAGTTATATACAGTAAAACTAAATGTAAATAAAAACTTTTTTTCTGGACAAATAAGGGGTTTTTTAAAGCAAGATCATTTATAATGAAAAGTAGAATAAATCGGTATCATCAATAAAATCATTCTTTCCCACTCATGATCAACTGAAAAAATTGCTTCTTTGAAGGCAGTTTAAAGCCAGTTGTGGCACGTGCCTGTTAGTACTCAGGAGGGCTGCACAGAGCCTTACAATCAGCCTAGGCCACACGGCCACCCAGAGATATATAGTGAAACCCTGCCTCAAGCAAACAAAACAGGGGCCAGGGAGATGGCCCGCGCTTAAGAGCACTGGCTGCTCTTACAGAAGACCTGGTTCAGTTCCCAGCACCCGCATGGCTGCTCACAACTGTACGCACGTGGCACACACAGATACATGCAACTTACAAACATAGAAACTTAATTCAGAAGGGAAACAGTTCACTGCTTCCTGGACACCGTAACCACAGTGAATTCTACACTGTGACTCTCTACCCTTAAGACTCACTATAACCTACAAAATGCATAACTTGGGTTCTGTTTCCTATTCAGTTTTTGAGACTCTATATTTTCTACTGCCTATTGCTTTGAAACAGAATAGGTAGTCATTTTCACTCTTTTCCAGCCTTACTGTAGGAGATCATCTTTCACCATTCCCATTTCATAAAGAATGGTAAGTTTAACTAAATCTTAGTCTGAAAAAGGACAGAGAGAGTACTTGCATGTACACTGATGAGGTTGGTAAACATTTATGAACACATGAGGAAGTGACTATGTTCCTCGTGAGCAGATTGTTTTTTAGCTTCACAATAGTATAATCAGAAACTCCGCACTCAGCCATGGCCAACAGCTACATCCTTATTCGTCCCTCCCCTCACAATGTTACGTCTACATGTGTGTGGGCACGTGTGTAGAGGTCAAAGGGCGACCTGCAGCTGTAGGCGCTCTCCTCCCGCCATGTGGAACCCAGCGGCCCAAACTCCGGTCAGGGTTGGCTGCAGGCTCCTCTACCTGTTGGGCCGTATCACTGAACTCTCACAGCTTTTAGAAGCAAATCTCAGATACTGCAGTTTATCTCCAAAGATCTCTTTAAAAAACTAACAACACATTACCATATCAATATCAACAAGCAAAAATCCCATTAATTTTTGAATATCATTAAGTATCAACTCAGCCCTGATATTTTTAGACTGATTTTGAGGTATTAGAGCAAACTACGTGATACTCTATTGTTATGGACCCCACCAAAAAAAAAAAAAATGTTCCCATGGTGTCTTCTGAGTTTCCTAAGAGTACTCTTCCTCTTCAGGACTGCATGCATTTAAATGTAAATATACTAGAAGTACATGCTCTTCACCATTCTGCTGGTGGAGGGAGGGCCAATACAAAGGTCAGGGTTCACCAAGCACTCTCTTTCTACCCCCGAGTCAACACAGAGCATTTCAGACCCAAACTCTCCAGGAAGGTCTTCTGGAGCAAGTCAACAACTCCAGAGCTCATCAGGCCTCTGAGGAGCATTCAACGGCTCTAGTCAACATCAGGGCCTGAAAGAGAACAACATCCTAACAGGTTACACATTAACTCGAGGCTTATGCTACTTGCACTTTACCGTAATCCTTCGTTTCCTTCCTTCTAATGAGCATGGGAATGTGATTGGTTGAACAGATAACCGTAGCTAGTGGCAACGCTGTGTAAGGAACGCCACACACACTGTCAAAACTGATCTCCGCATTTTTTGCAGTTTGGAATAAGATGTCTGCGACCTGTAAGAAAAGGAACACATAAACTTCCATTATTACAACTACTCAGAATGGCATTTGAGTCATGCAATGGCATGAGATGGAAATAAACCCGAGGAGATTTTCATTAAATTCTAAGATATAAATGGATTATTTATAACAATTCACTTTTTGAGTATCTAAGCTCAGGAGAGAAAATATTAAGCAACCAACTTAGACCTATCACAACAATCTTGAAGTCTGGCATGCAAACATAAGCATGAACCAGTTCAGCTAGATGCAGGACCTACTCTGAGGGCATCATGAAATGTCAGGAAGCATGATCCACCCCGAAGACCAAGGATGCCTCCCAGACTCCCATTATACCTTGACTCTCTAGAAGGATAGTTGGTTCTATTTCTGCAAGAAGTCCTCAGTGAACACTTCTCTAAGTATAGAGCCTATTGTGTGAAATACATTTTATCTTTTCTACATAAATCATTCATTTGGGGGGTAGGGGGTCCAAGACAGGAGTTTTTTGTTTGTTTGTGTTTCGAGACAGGGTTTCTCTGTGTAGCTTTGGAGCCTATTCTGGAACTCATTTTGTAGACCAGGCTGGCCTCAAACTCAGAGATCCGCCTGCCTCTGCCTCCCGAGTGCTGGGATTAAAGACATGCGCCACTACGCCAGGCCAAATCAACCATATTTTAATGTTAGAATGCACACTCCCATCCAACACTATCCTAAGAGTCATTCAAACCAAGTTAGCTTTTTTGTTTGGTTGATTTTTGGTTTTTCGAGACAGGGTTTCTCCATGTAGTTTTGGTACCTGTCCCGGATCTTGCTCTGTAGACCAGGCTGGCCTCGAACTCACAGAGATCCTTCTGGCTCTGCCTTCCGAGTGCTGGGATTAAAGGTGTGCGCCATTGCAGCGCAGCCCGACCCAAATTATCTTTTGAAAATATTTTCTTCTTATCACTTACTCTTGAAGGGGAGGGGGGAGTTGTTTGTTTTGGAGATTCTCAATACTGGCCTCAACCTCCCTCAGGCTGGCTTTATGTGCAAGTACCACCCCATGCCTAGCTTCCTACTTCAGTGTTTTTAAAAAAGTCTGTGACTGTTTTTAAGTTTTAAAGTGTACAATTTCTAGTACTAAAATCAAGAACATATCCAGAACTTTAATATCATTATCTGTAATGAATATGGGAAGAAGATAGCAGTCCAATGATAGAGCACTCTGCCTGGTGTACTCATAGCTGGGGACCAATCCCCAGTAACATACAGGCATACACAGAAATGCTACATAGACTACGTATGTTTTTTTTTTCTTCAAATTTCACTATGTCCACAGAATTATTACACTGCAATACATATTTCTTCCTGTGGGCTTTTTACTGATCTGTCATGCTTCTTTACATGAATCTAAACTGAGATGTATATTAATTGAAATGTAAGACTACCAAATTAAAAAAAAATTCATGATCTTAAGTCTGCTAGAGATTTTCTTGCACTATCATTTGTCTGGGCACATACCTAAAACATAAACCTGCAATCATAGAGTATAAGAAGAGATATGGGGGGGCTGGAGAGATGGCTCAGTGGTTAAGAGCACCGACTGCTCTTCCAGAGGTCCTGAGTTCAATTCCCAGCAACCACATGGTGGCTCACAACCACTTGTAATGAGATCTGGTGCCCTCTTCTGGCCTGTAGGGACACATGCAGGCAGAACACTGTATACATAATAAATAAAAATAAATCTAAAAAAAAAAAGAGAGATATGGGGAATTCTTTTTTCAGTGACAGAAATACTATCGTTTCCCTCCAACTGTCTGTACACACATCAATTTACTAGGAAGTTAGAAGTAAGCATATAATCTATTACTTGGGGGGGTGTATATACTGAGAGCACCTATTCACATAAACCTCTTTTAAAACCTAAAATGCTCATTAGAAAGTTCTGGGTAATACAGTTTCTCTACACTAATGAGACACACTACTTCAAGATTCCTGACCATAGCAAGAGTAAGGACAGTGAAAAGCCAGCTCAATCAGGGCTTCAGTCTATCTACAATAATCAGGAAAATTTTTTTCGTTGTTTTCAAGAAGCAAACCGCCAGGTGGTGGTAGCACACACCTTAAATCCCAGCACTCCGGAGACAGAGCCAGGAGGATCGCTGTGAGTTCGAGGCCAGCCTGGTCTACAGAGTGAGATCCAGGACAGGCACCAAAGCTATACAGAGAAACCCTGTCTCCAAAAAACAAAACAAAACAAACAAACAAACAAAAAATCCCACAAAACAAACCTTCCATGTATGGGACAGGAACTTAACTTCGGGGGTGGGGGTGGGGGTTGGGATTGTTTTTTGGAAACAGGATCTTTCAGGATAACCCAGACTCACCTCAAATTCACAATTCTGCTTCAACTTCCTGAACGCATGAATTACAGGCATGCACCACCATGCCTGACTACGTATGTCTTCTTGACAGAACTTTGTGATGTTGAAATATTCTACAGTTAGTTATAATAGCCAACAGGCTAGCGCCACTAGTAACATTACTATTCGGCTAGTCTGTGCTTTTGAAAGAGGGTCTCGTGTAGCCCAGGCTGACCTCAAACCACCTACACAGCGGACTGAGGTGACCTTTAACTCCTGCCTCCAGCTCCCTAGTGCTATTTCAACAATTCTGGCAGGCAAATGAACTCATCCAGTAAAGCTGTTTTCTACCTAGTCCGACCACCTGAATTCATTCCCTTCAATCCTCACGACGACCACCTGAATTCATTCCCTACAACCCTCAGGACGGAAGGAGAGCACACACTCTTGAAAGTTGTCTCTGACCTTCCCAGGTGTACCACGGGACGTGCACGCCCGCATATATATGCACGCAAACACACACTAAAATACATGTACTAAAAACTTCCCAGGGCTCAACGCGCACCCGGAGTTGGTAGCAACACTTGGAGCATGTCCACCCTTCTACTCAAAGTTCTACTTCTGCAGTTTGAGCTGGCAGCGTGTTACGCTAGAAACGCACTTTCTCACCGCCGACGTTGTGGCGACTCCTATACAACCCAACCAAGGTTTGGGAAGCACCGGGTTAGAAGCCTCTCTAACGGGTCTAGTTTACCCCCAATTACTCAGAAAAAGAAATCTTCCTTCCCGGCGCCCACCACATGGCTTTAACGTCTTGCTCCTGGCCATACACAACTACATCGAGCCCGTTGACCAACTACGATCCCTCCACGCTCCCGCCTTTGTCCCTTCCTACGTCTCTCTTTCTGGGGGTTAAGTACACAGACCTCACTCCAGGACTTCTCCACACTCCCCGACTCCTGCAGCGCACGTGTCGACTCGGGTCGGTCAAGGGCAAGGTCCCAAGGAGCCCGAACCGACTGCTGCCGGCCTCCGTGCCCCTCCACAGGCTCTCCAGACCAGCAAGACGGAGGGCTCACCTGCCTGCTCCGTGGCTCTCTTTCATGCCCCGACTCCGGCCACCCCGCGCCATCTCCCGCTCTCCTTTCCCGCCACCCGGAGCCATCCCGATCCCCGGGGCTGGTACCTGACTCAGAAGACGCGGGCGGGACACGATGCCCCGCAGGTCGATGTAGACTGGGGAGGTGAGCCCGCTCTTCAGCACAAAGCTCCCGAACTTGAACGCCTGCACGTCGTACAGCTCGGAGACCAAGAGGCCCAGAGACTCGCTGGCAACCGCCATACTCCCCGCCGTTCAGTCCTCTCTGGAAGCCCAAGCGCTTTGGGGTCCGTGGCGTCAGCGAGACGCCCCGCCTCTTCCGCCTCCCCTTCCGGCCTGGACCGCAGGGGTCTGGGCTTATGCTTCCTGGTTGGAGCGCTGGGTTTGAAAAACCTCCAAGGTGGATTGATGCTCGGTTTATCCGAAGGGAGTCTGTAGGCCATGCTCGTTTTTGTTTGTTCGGTTTGGTTTTTGAAGCTTACCCCTTCCGGGAGTGATCCTCATACCACGATTATCTTATCATAGTAATTATCTTATCGCCCGTTAGCCACCACTTCCCTAAACGCTTCCAGGGTTTCTCCACTTAGAAAAGTTCTCTAAGATCGGGCTTGTGACTCCCTTCTTGAATTAACTTCACAGCAGCGGGCTGTGTTTCACAGAACTGTGTTTCACAAGTTTCACAGAAATTTGCACATAGAAATATAAAGCAGGTCTTTGTTTCACAGAAATTTGCACATAGAAATATAAAGCAGGTCTTTGTTCACTCTGGTGCTGGCAGAGAAACGTGCTTATTTCCCTTAACACCATCTGAAGTGCTGAGGATGAAGAAGGGTGGGAGGGGAGTTAGGGAGGATTAACTGACAGTGTCAGGCTATCTGGAAAAATAATGTTGGGCAGCTTGAAAACCCAAGCATATTTGGTTTACAAATCCTTTAGCTGGCTCTGGGTGGTGCAGACCTGTAGCCCTAGCTACTTAGGAACCTGAAGCAGAAAGATTGCAAGTTGGGCAGGGCGGCAGTGGCGCACGCCTTTAATCTCAGCCCTCCGGAGGCAGAGGCAGGTGGATTTGTGTGAGTTGGAGGCCAGCCTGGGCTACAGAGCGAGATCCAGGACAGGCACCAAAACTACACGGAGAAACCCTGTCTCGGAAAAAAAAGAAAAGAAAGACAGAAAGATTGCAAGTTGAAGGCTGGCCTGGGTCACTAGTGAGACTGTGTCAATAGTAATAAATATAATAATAATAATAATAATAATAATAATAATATAAAATCCCTTAAGGCTGTATTTGCCTTATTTTAAAGAAAATACCACCCCCACCCCAAGCAGAAGTGGCACATGGCTTTAATCCTAGTACTTGGGAGGCAGAGGCAGACAGATCTCTGTGATTTTGAGGCCAGCCTGGTCTACAGAGTGAGTTCCAGGACAGCCAGAGCTGTAATACAGAGAAACCCTATCCACACACACAGAAAGAGAGAGAGAGAGAGAGAGAGAGAGAGAGAGAGAGAGAGAGAGAGAGAGAGAGAAACTAAAAAAACAAACCAATGCTACTTATCAAACCGATTCTGAGATTTAATTTCTGTATTCTGTTTTCTCTAAGGAGATTTTGCTGAACTTCCGGTGTGAAAAACCCATATATCCCTGTTTGTTTTGTGTTTGAAACGGTTTCCCTGTGTAGCCCTGGCTGGCCTAGACTTTACTGTGTAGACCAGACTACCCTCAAACTCACAGAGATCCATCTGCCTCCACCTCCTGAGTGCTGGAATTAACAGCATTCACCACCACATGCAGTAAAACTCATAGTTTTGACAGGTGTCTCTGATTACTAGTAAGTGCAATAAAGCCTTGGTTAAATAGAATTCGAACATTTTGTTCTTATTGCCAGATCAAAACAACCTTCATCTCTGGATGTTGCTGATGGACAGGGAACTATAGATCCATCTCATTCCTACCTGTGCAGCACCTGCAGTCTTTGAAGGCTCGATCATGCCTGTATGGGTTCTCCCAGATGGCTGGACTGCTACCAGCATGCACAAACCCGTGAGATCCAGTGGGAGTCAGTTCTCTCCTTTCCCTATGCAGTCCTGTGGATCAAACTCAGGGCCTCAGGCTTCACAACAAGCGCTATTATGTGTTGGACCATCTTGCTGGACCACTAATGGGATTTTTTTTTTCCTGAGAGAGGGTTTCTCTGTGTAGTTTTGGTGCCTGTTCTGGATCTCGCTCTGTAGCCCAGGCTGGCCTCGAACTCACAGAGATCTGCCTGGCTCTGCCTCCTGAGTGCTGGAATTAAAGGCATGCGCCACTGCCGCTGCCCTGCTGGATTTTTTTTTTTTTTAAAGCCTGCCAAATGCTTTCAAATATTTGGGAGGAAGAGAGGAAAAAAATTACTCAGGGGTGGTGGTGCAGGGTTTGGGGTGGGTGGGTAGGAGGACAGGAGTTTAGTTAGGAAAAAAAAAAGACAAGGGCCAATGAGTTGGCTCAGTGGATTAAGGGACTTGCTACCAAGCCTGATGACCTGAGTTCAATCTCCTGGACCCAAGAGCTCCTACAGATTGCCTTCTTACATACACACTGGGACTCGTGCGCGCGTGCACACACACACACACATGCACACGCACACGCACACGCATACAAATAAATGTTATAACATTTTTAAGGGGGGCAGGCAACTAAAAATAGTATCTTCAGTATATTATATTTATAGGAATGCATAACATATGAAATGTACATTTTGAAACTTCATCCACAACTTATAACATTTACTGCAGTAATAATAACAAGACAGCAGGTCGGCACTTTACAACATTACACATGAGTGATTCTAACTTACAAATAAAATATTTACAACCTACCTTTACAAAACAACATTGTGTGCATACAAAATGAACAACTGCAGGGAAATTTAAAATAACAAAACAACCAAAACCCAAAACCCCAGAAGATACACTTAAGGCAGACAGCAAGACACTGAACTAATTAAGGCTGTGGAATTCTTCTGCACCTTGAAAATATAGAGCTATTTACCAATACTGTGGAGTGATTTTGAATCAATTGTTACAAGCCTGATGGAAGTATGTATTTATATGTATATGTGTAATGGTCCCTATGGGGAAACCTGTCCACTTATGGATAAGGCCTTTTATCTGAATGGCCAGAGGAGCCCACCACAAATTCTCATAAAACTTTGGGGGAAGCGATCACTCAAAACCAAGAAGTGTGGGCACAGTTTGCAAATCAGGTATTAAAATTCAAAGATAGGCCAGGCATGATGGCACATGCCTTTAATCTCAGCACTTGGGAGGCAGAGGCAGGCAGATCTCTGGCCAGCCTGGTCTACAGAGTGAGCTCCAGGACAGCCAGGGACTACACAAAGGGACCCTGTCTCAAAATCAAAACAACAACAAAAACAAACACACATACACACACACACACACACACACACACACACACACACACACAAGAACTCAAATATAGAATTGTGAGTAAACAGAATCACATAAATAATGGTCCCAATGTGTTTCATAATTTGTTCGATTGGCCATGTGGACTTCAAAAGACATCAAATTAATTCCCATGTGACTAGAATTCTCCATGTATTATCCCTAAAGGTTTTTGAATGATCTTAAATGGTTTTCCAGTAGAAAAACTGACCCACCCGGGCTGCCTGCCTGCAATGGATAGATTTCTGCATATGAGCAATAACATATACATACATATTATACACTATATACATGTACAGATGTACATATATCCATATTTTCCAACAGTGTGGCCTCAATTGCTGCTGTTCTCTACATAAATAGCATTCTCAAGGGTATGCTTAGTTCTTCACAGTCTGTTTGTCCCTCTCCCAGTTTTATTTACTTCCCCACAGTAGTCTAATGTCTGGCAGAAACAGAGTAAAAGCACCAGGGTTAAAAAAAAAAAAGAAAGAAAGAAAGAAATCAAACACAGAGGTGATAGATATGGCTTAAGTTAGCAGGAGAAGACAAATGGTTTGTTAACTTCAGGTTCGTCACAGTAACGGTCTCCAGGGACTCCAGGATTCGGACTTAGTTCTTGATGGAAGTGGGGAATTCATGCAGCTCCTATCCCTGGACTGGCAAATTCACCTGGTTAAATTAACTCTCAGGAATTCCAAGATGTGCTATTTGCGCATTTTCTTGCTCTTCCCTGTTCACTGAAGGATGTTTATCTGACTAAACCGTTAGGTTGCTCATATGGATAAAAACTAAATCTGACCACAGTTTGGAATGTCTTAGCAAACAGGCTAATAGAAAAAGACAATATAGCCTGGGATTGTTAACTTTAGGCTTTTAATTAATATCATTTAAAGATGAAAGCACTGTAGTAGAAAGACTGTATTCTCCTGTAGCTTCAACTTATATTAAAAATAAGAAAAATGTCTTTCATAAAAAATATGGCCATATAATATTTCTGTATTCCATTTCCTTATAGATTTATCATGAAAAACATTTCAGCCCTTTTGAGCTCTTTAGAATGAATGAGACCATGAGAGCCTTAGGGTTTTCAGAAAATCATTATTATCCTGTATCTTCTTTTCTGTTGGTGGAATCTATGTGAGCTTTTCTTTTAGCCTATCCTGGGTCTAATAATTCCTTCCCCAAAGGTATTTAGATTTTTAAATAGCAAAGAAAAATCATGAGGTGCTTTTTACAAATAAATCTGTTGAAAGCTTATATAAGTTTGCCTGATCCAGACTCTATTGGAATGTTACCCAGGCAAGAAAGGAATATGGTCTATATTCCTCAAAACTCACCCAGTACAATTCATGGGCTACCCTAGGATGACGTGGTGAGTGGGTCCTTTGTCTACTACAGAGACCCTTTGTGGTCAATAGATTTCCCCCTATCAGGTATAGAAGAGAGAGTTTCAATTAACACAGAAAAATAACCACCGTTTACTTTATATCTTATTTTCTCCCACTTATTCTCACAGATCTAAATTTCCATGTTCTTCCAGATAGGCAAGAAAAAAAAAAAAAAGAAGTAGTGAGTGGCTCCCAGGCATGGAAGTTTGGGGACAAGAGAAGACTAGTCTGGAAAGACCAGAACCAAAGCTCTCCTTCTCTAGGGCCAATCCATCTCCCCCTACTTCCCACCCACCCCCATGCACACCATTTGCCTTTTCTAGCAGATTCTTGGAGGCTCCTAAAGAAATGAATTGTGACATGGGAGGATGTTTGATCCTCACATCTGCCCTCCCAGTGAGGAAAGTAACTGTTGGGGTTCTTTGTTCAGATTTTTTCCCAGAGCATATCGCTTGGGAAGAGA